TTAATAACCCCATTGTGGTTTAGGCTCTTAGTTTTTATGCTGTGCTTAGGTAAAGTCTAGCTTGGGACACCCACTGGGAAACCAGGCTGCAGTGCGCTGAGCCTTATGTAGTTTTACAGGAGACCACCCTCAAACCCCACTTTCCCTCTTTCTGAAGACACCCACGGGGATGAGAGTCCAGCAGAAGCCTGACATCTAAGTCACATTCGCATCTGAGCTACGTGGATGGGGAGTGAATTGATAGCGTGGGCATGAAGTCTATACGTGATGTCTGGGAGTATAAAAACCAGGGAAACAAATTACCTCTGCCCTTAGTACTTTTGCAATTGCTTTTCTTGGTCTAGTGCTGGTGTTCACAGTTTAAGGTGGTTATTAGGTAATTATGGAAGACCTTGGGAAGAGCAGAAGACAGTGTGGTAGGCACAAAGACTCCAAATGATTTATCTATTTAAGAAACGGTAACACTCCAGGACACCTGGCATGAAGGAAACTCACCCTTAATAGAGGACTTACTAAATATAAGGTCCAGTGGCTAGAAGCCAAAGTTAAACAAACTCTGCTTACGTACACATTTTTACAACAGGTAACAGTCACTGGAATAATTTGCCAAGAGCTGTGGTGGGATTTCCCAGAAGCTGCGATCTCTTGTTGTTTCAAAGAGGAGTTCTACTTCAAACACAAATTAAGTAAGGGAAGTCCTACGGCTTATGTTACCCGAGAGGTCAAGCGAGATGGTCACAACAGTCTCTTCTGCCCTTGTAACCTATAAATAGATTAGAGTCCCAGTGGAAAAAAATTATCCTTATCTTGGGCTTTCCCAACATACTGTGGAAAAAACAATAGGATGCAGAAAGATCAGAAATAGTCCCTTTGCTGCAGTTGTGCCTAGTTTGCTATATCTACTGAAGAGATCAAAACATTGTGATCCTGTTCCAAAACGCCTTTTAAGCTCTTCCTTCTTGCTGTCAGAGCTCAGCCGTGCCCAATACACCCGTTTTCAGAGCCGTTAACTAGTCAACATTTGATAATTATAACAAAGGTTGGGTTTGAAGTCGGTGGGAGTTTTGCCATTCTCTCTTAACGGGTGGATCAAACCAGTGTGTCCTTGCAATTTAAGGACATGCCTCAAATTCTCTGCCCAATGTGAAGTGAAAGTTGGGGGAATCATGCCACACACATTCAACTGCTGAGTCTGGCTGAAAGAACAGACTTTTCTCATACACCATGTCAAATACTGTTATATTTAGGCAACATTTGAAAAGAATTCTACCTACATGAAGTGAATCATTCAACCGCCACAGTACAAATGCCATAGAAGCAACAGAGACAAATTTATTCTGTGCAACTGTGCTACTTTTATTGTTCTTTGTGAAAAGAGAGTACTTCACACAGCATGTATCCTCCTGCAAACTTTTTGATTAAAAGAAAATAACAATTCCTCTCTTGCAGTTTCTAGGAGTGTTCTGCATGTATGGAGCAAGGGACATGGGATCACTGATTTGTTTGTCTGTTGGATTCAAAAATACAGTGAAACAGCATTTACATGGCATCAGTCTGCTCTTTTATTTACTCCCTGAGATAATTTTGAGGATCATTCATCATCAGCTAAGTGAAACCCTACAAGTACATAAAATACTTTGAACAAAACAATGCAAACCACCTAAATCATCTGAGCCTCCTGCTCAGAGCAGAACTAGAGTCACCCAAGACCTGTGACTATTCTGAACAGTACCTTTCACCTTGATCACTGCTGTAAGCAGGGCACAGTGGGGTTTAATGCGCTCTTTCATCGGTGGGAATTTGAAGTCGCAGCAGTCACAGTCCAGTGGGAAGGCAGGAGACCCAGGATCTGACCTGGTCTTTGGTCTGGAAGGACATGAAGCAGCATGGTTTCTGTCAGGTCTACATCTCACAGGTGTGTGCTAAATAGCAGGCTATGGGCTTTTCTGAAACTGAGATTTACCTCACTCACTCCTGAAGTTTTTGTGTTTTGGTGATTTGGTTTTTTTTTTAAATACTTGAATAATATTTTAATTATAAACCACAAAGAAAATTGTTCTCGAGCCAGGTGGCCAGGACACCTACCTGGGAGGTATGACACTTGGGCTTCTGCTACAGAAAGTATTTTGAAAGAAATGTCCAGTTGCAAATGAGCCTCCCAGGCTTGAGGAAGCAGGAGCTTCTACTGCCAGCAACAGGCTCCTGCCGTCTCACACTGTCTTCAAGAATTCGGTGACAGCTGTGCCACTAACTCTAGAAGCAACAGAGTGAGGCCTTTTGGACAAACTATAAAAGTCCTGTTAGAAGAACTGAGCATTGAAGAGTTCAGCTAATCAATATGCAGCCAGCAGTGATTATTAAAGATAACTCTTCTGAAGACTTCCAAATACAGACATATGTATCTTTCAGAGGAAAAAAAAAATATTTGCACTTCAGAAACATGGTTCATATTAGATCCATGTTTCCATAGGCTGAATATATATTTTTCAGTCAAACAAGGGCAAAGGAGAAATGGAAATATGTAGATTCCTGAGCAGCATTCTTTTCCTGTCAGAGGTATAGAAAGGGCCATGTTTTCAAATGAAAAACATCATCATCATTTAAGACTGCTCCATATTAAAAAAAAAAAAAGAGCACTTTTGGAACAGACCTCTGTTACAAACCTCAGTTCAAAGCACTGTATAATTAGGCAGCCCTGGCAAAATGAGATAATGTTCATCTATCATGATACAAATCCTCTAGGAATAATCAAAACATCAAAGGTTCACACAGGCGCTTTCTGCATTAAACTGGAGTGATCTGTGAGAATGCAACTCCTGGATTTTCCTTTCTCCAATAATTCTACTTCAAAATAGTATTTTGCTGGTAGTACCACTGGAAACCAGACAGGGCCATGACAGCTGAGGACAGTGTGATGTACTACCACGACACCACACGCTTGTAAACACGTCGCTCCACTTGTTCACCCAGCAGTTGGCTCTCAGTATGGTATCAGATAGATGATTTCTGTTGTCTTTCAGCTGGGAAAACACATTTGAGTGTGTCAAACGCTTTTCCAACCTGAGTACAGGACATATGCTTGGCTCGGACTCAGACTGGTTCCCTCATAAACTGGTGCTTGTGTAGACACCTATAATTTTGTGGTTCTGCCTGGGATGGGTGACAGGCTACTCAGCAACAGAACCAGGGCATTCTAATTACATTTAATTCTGCCTTTAAATCGAAACTATCTTGTATGCTTTTTAGGTACAAAATGAGACAACAAAAATATGATGTACTTTAAAAACCTGCCCTCCACCATTAACCAAAAGATTTTGATCTGCAAACATTTTAAAGCTGCCCAAAACATTTAGGAAGAAAAAAAAAACAACAGAACAGTCTACTTAAGAAAATCTTTTCATTTTTATTACTTTCTAGTAGTCATTTTCTCAGGTGTATGTTTAAATTCTAAACCAACCATACAATTTACCCTATAGATTTCTTCCCTG